AGGGGGGGGGGGGGGGGGGAGTCAAAAACGCATCAAGAAATAGCAAGAGTTGAATCAATCAATGAAAAGGGTACTCACAAAGCGTTATGAATTGAAAAGGGGTAGCCACTGTCGCTGTCCGCGTCTCGAAAAAACACGAACTCCTCTTTTGCGCGAGTTATCTCTCTCAGTGTAAGTATGGTACGGAATCCTTTATATATATTCGATTTCCCCTAACCAAATGTCGGGTTAAACCTTACTCTCCACCACGTTTTGGCCGTGTGCGGGCTTAACTTTAGCCACAGATTAGGGTAAGAAAATGAAAAGAATATCTGCCAATTTGATTTTCTAAACCTAATTAGTAGATTTAATTATGTGCCCTAATTAACATTTGACCACATTAAACCAGATTTTGCTACCAAAACGCCGAGAAAATCTTGATGCCTATTTTTCCTGTAGTTTATTGACTCGGGTTGAGATGGGGTTTATTGAGGCATTTTTCCTGCTGAAAAGCAGTGAGTCGAGTCAACTTTTTAGGTTATTACATAAAAAAATTGTGACTAGACGTCGTTGATCAGAAATCTGATGCTGGAAAGAGATGGCAAGTTCATCATAAAGCAAATTCTCCTCCGAGGAAATGTGTGTTTGGGATCTTGCCTCGATATATATAATTCGATGTGAGAATGAGTTAGTAATTCAAGAGGAATGTTCAAGTTCTCTATTTTTATCAAGAAAAGTGTTAGTTCTTCTCTAAAAAGGTTTGTAGATACCGTTCTTTGATCATAGAGCCTCCTTTTTATAAATGTTTTGGTAGCGATTAAAATGTTGATGGGTTAGTTAGTAGGGTTGGACAAGTGTCGCATCTCCCTTGGACGAAGTCTTGCAAACATGGGAGAAAGCATCACCGTTTAGCAGGGTAATGCAAATGTGGATTAACAACTGACACTAAATTGTGTCTGGGTCACTCGAAAGCTTGGGTCGAATCTAATTTTTTTTGTCGAGCTTTTGCTCAGCTTGGCTCGGCCCGGAAAAAGCTCGGATATTTTACTTGAGCCGAGCTCAAGCCGACTCGTTGACATCCCTAGATGGATCTATTCGGCTCCTCTGTAAGTACCCTTATCAATCTTGCGTCCTTCTGCCCGATTGTTTACCTTGAGTGATCATTCCAAGTTCGTCTCTCTTCATGATATAATTTTGATGGATACTAATACTGACCCATATCAATTGCATTAAAATATTTTTAAAGTTGGAATTTTCGTCATGAAAAGTTAAAATAGAAGCAGATTCGTGTTTGATATAAAAATATTGAAATTATAATTTTTATTAGGGAATTAGCACAAAACGCCCCTACGGTTCATGATTTTTGTGGAAAACGTCTCCACCTTTCTTTTTTTTGGTACATTTCATCCATACCTTTACCTTTTCTTGTGAAAAACATCTTTTTCATCATTTTTCTCAATAAACTTTTATAACTTTTTATTGAGAAAAATGATGAAAATGATATTTTGCACAAGAAAATGTACAAGTAGGGATGAAATGTGCCAAAAAATAGAAAGATAGGAACGTTTTCCACAAAAATCATGAAAGATAGGGACGTTTTGTGCTAATGACCCTTTTTATTAATAATGTTACAGGATAATTGAAATATAGAGAAAAAATTATAGAATAATTCAATTCAACTTTTTGTGTGAGTACAAAGAAATTTGGTAACTAGACGTTATTATTCATTAGATCAAATCGAAATATATATAAAGTAAAAATTACGAAAATGAAAATAGAAATAGATTCATGCTGTGTTGTAATTGTTGTCCTTGTAAACAGGGATGACAAATTCTCCTGTTAATCTCATCCCATCTTTCGAAAGTGCCTGTTAGCAAGGGTTGCTTTGAGCCTATGTCATCACTACTCGTAAAATCATAATTATTGATGCGAACCATTTCCAATTATAAAATAATAATATTTCATGTAATCTTCTTTTAATTGTAAATATTGACAAATTTGATAACTAGACATCATTATTTGCTAGAATCAAAATATTTAGCCTTTCCTTTTTGAATAATTCCATTTGTACACTACCCCTCACAACTTACCCAATAATTCATATTATATAGAAAAGAAATAAATCTCCCTATCCCGGGTTGGGGACAGGGAGCATCTCTCTTGAGATATTTATTGTAACATATCAGGATGGCAGGAAGGTAATATACAAAAAATTAGCAAGGAAAGAAATCAATCAAAATTGAAAGGGAACATTTTCGTAATGCTTTCTTATCTTGCTTTCAAGTCTCTATCGTCACTCATTTACAACTTGACATGTGAAAGCACGTCCCATAAAGGCATGAACAATTTAAATAAATTGTTGAGCAAGGAATTATTGGAACAACTGTTGAGAAGTTATCATGGAAGCTGATACCCCCTTTTAAAGTGAAGTTTAAAGGTGCGTAAATATGGCTAAAAATGTGGAAGGCTAACCATTCCTCTTTTAGACTGGTTGAAACCGTTATCAAAACATGTGGATAGATATTTTAAGCACGACATGTAAGATGAATAACACGTGAATGAATAACATAATAAGTTAAAATCCCATCATTAACCTACAAACAGTGGCAGATCCAGAAAAAAATTCAACATGGGCTAATATGTATAAATAAATAAAAAATTGCACATAAAAAAAAATATTTTACTTAAATTTTTTTTTTTTAATGGGCATTTGGGCTGAAGGGACGGGTTGTAGCACGGCCCAACCCGTCCCTGCATCCGCCCATGCCTACAAACACGTCATTTTCTAAAACGACTCAATTATCCCCAAGTCTTTTAAGGAAATCTATAAATATTCCCACTTAAAAGGAGGGTATGCAAATTCAAATATCTTCATCTCAAATAGTCATATTCTCTCTTGCTTCAGTTTGGACATAAAATAAGAGAATTTAGGCAGAGAAAGTCTTGATTAGGTGTGATTTGTTGATCGTTATTTTAACATAAGTTGATCCAATGTTGTACAAGAAGAAACAAAAGATACGTAAATGTTAGAAAGCATATCAATGTAATACAATCAGAAGAGATTTTCTACATTAACAAAGTTTCATGTATCTACATAAGAAATCAAAACCTTATTCTTCCAATTCTGGTACTTGACAGAGGATAAAAAAGGGAAGCAGACAGATATATATAGTATCTCATCATCTCCAAATCTTCCGAAAATATATATAGAGCATTTGAGTATTAAATGTATCCCAAAATGAACATAAAAAAAAACGTTCGTCTGTTTTGGATCAAAGCTTAAGTTTCTGCCCATGCATCTTTCTTACTTTGTATGAATGATTCAACTTTTTGATTTATGTTTGAGGGCACACTCAGAAGAAGCCACGGCTGCCTCGGAGGCATTGGTTTTGTCTGTTCACTTGGCTTATTCACCTCTATTCCTTCGTCTAAAAGATTAGTACAATCTTTGCTCCTAAAACCATTTTTCTGCCCTTTAGTGCCAACAGCCTCTCGTTGATGGGACACTGAATTATGCTCCTGGCTCCGTCCCTGCTCCTGGAGGCCATTATCTCGAGTTTTATCATCAAATTTATCCGGGACTCGAAAGTTGGCAGGGCTGCCTTTTCGTTGCTCACCCATTAAGCTTGACGCATCTTTCTTTGGAACGTGAATTGAAGAACCATAATCATCAACTCTGGTCTCCCAGTTTTCCTGTCCACCAATGTGTTTGAACTCGACTACAATTTCAGAAGCAGCAGAATATCCATCAGCCCTTGATGACGAACCCTCTTCAATGGGAACTTCAACAGATTGACGAGACGTGGAATGACTCAAAACACTAAAAATGAAGTTCATAAACCTTTGACAAGTGCCTGTAGGCAGAGAATTCTCACCCCTTCTCTGCATTTGTTGCTGAAATGAATGTGATGGACAATTAGACACAGGCACGCAGCAATATTCAAGGGTTTCAGTGTTTATCAACAGGAAATATTGGCTTGTCAGTATGATTCTATTCTATCCTTTGAAGTGGGGGCAACAAAAAGCAGAATGTGATCTTTCAATTGTAGCTTAGCCCTTATTTCATTGGTTTCACTTCTAGTCCAAAGCATAAACATCTTGCAAGAATATATATCCACATCCCTCTGACACCAAGAATAACTATGCCTTTCTTGAAGCATTTTTTCATTCCCAAACAGTAACTACAACTAAATCTTGCTTAAATTGTTGAACATGTGGAGGTGTGGATCACATTCCTTTTTTAGACGAAGACCTGACAATAGACTTTTCACAAATAGGCAGTGGTCGTGCTTAAATTCAAGATATTCGGATTCTATGCTATAATGTTGAGACACCCTTAAATCAACAAACCAAATTACCTTAGCAATATGGAATAAAAATAGAGTCATCGCACCACATCTAAAAGTTCAGTCCGAGGCCAAATTCACAGCCTCAAAAGGCTTTCTAGATTATATCAGTTGAATAGAGCTGATAAATGCCATATATTGGTTTTCAGGACATCAGTTGATAATGAAGATGACCATTTTGGTTTGCTGGATGAAAGACAAGGATGATTGCTTTTCAATATTATTTACTTGATGTGAAGAATTATGAATCTAATCACTTAATCATGGATTGGAGTATGAAATTTGTAAAGACAACATTTTTTTTGGCACAATGTATGATCGATTGTATCTCTTTTAAATACTATATAGAAAATTAAAATCATACATAAAATAATAAAATAGGAACACATTCCTTTAGTCGAACCAGCTATTTAAAATATTTGACAGTAGAAACGTCAAAGATTTTATGGACAAAACAACCAAATCAACTGTAACTAATTTAATTGTGCTTGATAAATAGAAGAAAAGGGAAAATGTCACAAATATATGGTTATGTAAAAAAGACTGCATCCACAAGAAACTCAATACACTACAAAACTCAACTCTCTGTTACAAAATAATCCACATTCCGCTCGATGTTCAAGCTCTCTACTATTTCTGGAGCCTATCGGCATCTCAGGAAATGTATAACAGCCAACACTAACAGATTAACTTACAGAGATTTCCCTTCGTGGTTGTCCCCCGGATCAGAAGTCCCCTGAGTTTTCTGATTTTCAACAGGGGACTGTAAAGCAAGACATCGTCCTTTCTGAGCACGAGGTGGAAGATGTTTTGCTGGTTTCCTTGATCCAACGGTCCAGGGCAGGAAAACCCCGGTACCACCTTGTGGAATTCTTCGAGGGCTCAAAACCATCGGACGCATGGGAGATAACATAACCACAGGAGTCCGAAGGACTCCCCATTTTGGGATCATATCCATTGCCTCGTAGGGACTAATTATTTCATTTGGGACTGCATATCGAGTTTGGACACCAGGTTGCCATAAGGTCATTGCTCCTGTGGAAGGGGTTGCCTCGGTGTTTTGTGTCTCCATCCGGACTCTAAAGAATGTGATGCTTACCCTCTTGTTCGGTGAGGTGCACATAACATGTCTTGCTGTATCAGAACTATTTCCCCTCATGACTAAAAGTGACCTGTCAAATTTTTTTGAATCAAATTGACAGACGGTTATGTTTAGTATGCTTGATGCTAGAGGATAAAGGACACCTATCAAACAGGAGCTATATGTATAAGTTGTAACATACCCTTCCCTGAGAGAGAGCATGAGTGGTCCTTTATAATTTCCTTCATCATCACTGACAAGTGTTCGACCAAATGCCATTGCTGACTCGGAGAGAAGGAGGGTTGAAATGGGCTGGTCCAAATGAGGTGGTTTTAGAAAAGGCTGAGAATATTCCCCCTACACGAACCAGAAAACTGAATCAGTTACACTATTAAATTGCACTGTTAAGTGAAAAGAAGCGTTGAAGCAGAAAGATTTATACCTCGTCGAAGAAGTTAATGATGCAGCTATTTGGTTTGCGATTTTCTGAAATCAAATGCCACTGGATCAAGTGGCTGATTACACCTTGTAGAAGTGCTGGAATTGGCTCAATGTTGCCTGTAAATACATACGTTATTATTGAAGGGGGAAAAAAAATAAAAATCGGCTGAACATATAAAATGTATCGAAATAGAACTCTTCCATACTCTTCTGCAATTTACTTGTTGCATCGTCTTTTATCTGTCCGAAAATGGGAATTCCAAGCTGAATTAACTCTCTCTTCTTTCCTTTCACTTGCTGGTTGTAAAGTATAAAGGTCTCGCCTGATATGAATTCAAAATACTTAATCAGCATTAAATGTAGTCATCGAGATACCACTTTCACCACAATAAACTACTGCACATCAAGAATTAAATAAACAAACCGGAAAGGTGAATAATGCAAAATAGCCTTCCGAGATGCATTTGAGAAATTAGACAACCTTAAACTTTTTGAATTATTATTTATTCTTATTTGGCAATGAAGTTACAGTGGTGGTCTAGACAATCAACAGAAGGTAGCAATGTGTAAACTTACTGTAAAAATAATGCTCAAACCTGCTTTAATCATAACTATAGAAGATGCCCTTTACAATCTCAAAACTTCTGGCCCAAAAGGAAACAACTAGTTTAACTATAAAAGCATCACGAATCACAGGATCCACCTGAGAGTTCACCATTCTGGCCAGCAGCTCGGAGCTCATTCACAAAGTCATTCAATTTAGAGAGTTCGACATCAGTGAATATGTCTTCATACAACTTAAGACCTCTAACAACATTAACCTGTCAGTCGTAAAATACAGTTGTTGAGTACACTTGCAGCATATGTTATAACATATTACGTCAACCGAAAGCATGTTTCATTAAGTTTAAAGGTTTCAAGTAACTCTGTTTTTTATTTTTTATTTATTTTTTTGGAGATTTTAAGTTCATGATCTTACTTTTTTTTTAGAGTAAGCAATAGTAACTCACCATATGACCTTTCACGGGTTCCTTTGCTAAGAATCCTTTTGTCATCTTGATCTGCTCACGACGTGCCTCACATTCTTCATGGTTAGAACATATATCGACATGTTCAAGAAACGGCTGCACTTCTTGAGATCCTGTAATGCAGAATAGAACAGAAGGAATGGATTTTTTCACCTTAACAATAATTAAAGAACAGTCTAATATAGATTTGAAATTACAGAGTACAGTTTTGGGAGGGTAAAAGGGGAGAATATATGAACTGTTGACCGCAACAGAATAAAAGCTTTACGCATATTTGACAGGGAGGATTGAAAGCAATACATTGTACTACGGTAAAAAAATCAACAAAATCTCATTAATTATATATAGTCCTCTTCAGTACCGCGTATATTAAATTCGCACGTGTAATTTTGAAACTGTATTAGCATCCCATAAGATTGGATTAAGAAATAATTCATACTTAATAATTGAATATCAGTTTTGTGGCACAATGAAGTATTGAAAAAACATCATCATTTCTCTCTTTTTTCAGGAAAAAAAGGGACCAATTCAATAAAATCAATGGTAACAGAGTTGCCAGGATACAATAAATGCTAATAGATTTTCAAGAAAAAAGTTATGAGGTCATAATTTCATCAATCAACTAATTCCTTTTATTTTTAATTAATGAAGGCCAGCCAAAAGCTGTTCACTAAAGGACCGTTTCATTTTCCCTTGGGACAAACGACAGTTCTGCAAACACTGAACCTCGGACTTAGGACTTGCCACCCAACTGTCAATAATATTATCTCTTATATTTAAAAATAGGTTAAAATTTCATTTATTTTAGTATTCAATTTTATTCAGTATTATAGAAGAGATAAAAATTTGGGACTCCTACTTTTGAAAATGATACTAATAGGAAAGCACTAATTTGCCGTACCGAATCCACTACAGCACCAAGACAAAAATAAGAAAGCACGACTTTTGTACCAAAGAAAAAGCACTTAGTGTAGTGTACCATGCTTTCCACGAGTGGTATAAAATTTAAGGATATTATTTTGTTCCCTAGATTGGACTATTTCTAGCGTGTACTTGAACCACGTCAATTATGTTGACTCGTTTTTACAACACGAATTATAGCGTGACAATGAAAATCTTAAAGCATTAACTTTATCATCTTACAAAAATGCATGTCTTGTGCTTATTGATAAGGTTCGTGCCATCTAGATCGATGTTAAGGATGAGTAATACTAGATATATTAATCATTCAAGAAAAATAATATGATAAAATTCTTAATTTTCTACTTCAACTCTCACTCTCCTCCATTGCTATAGCAACCAGTATCACATGATGAAAAAGTCTAGGGACCAAAGGGTAACATTATTACAAATAGAATGACTAGAAGTGCTTATAAACAATTTTTGATACAAGTCAAAAGAATATTCCGTCTAGCTTCTTCTTTAAGGCCCACACAGAAAGGACACCAAACAACATGGCCAACCATCAAAGATGAGTTCACTCAAGTCAAACTCATTGAAAAGTCCGAATTATCTAGAACAAACCATCCTAGCGATACGAATACCCTAAAAGGTTCAGAAATTTCAAAGTTCTACTCGGCACTACCCGTTTTAGCCCCTCTTTGTCTGTAATTATTTCAAATTTTTTTCTCTAAATTTATTTTTAATCACATTCTTGTAATAAAATATTTTACACATAAATTCAATATTTTTTGCACAACCTTAAAAAATTCATTGTTTCAAAATACCTTTTCAATCAGAGGCAGCCATGACGTCCGCTAAAGCCGTCAAATTAAAACCTCCCATATGGTAAAAATAATGATAATAATAATTTAATGATTCAGAGATACCTCAAGCATCTCCAAGTGTACCTCCCACTCTCTCGTAATTAATATTTGCTATTCCCGATAACTGTGAATCGGGTGTGTGCGTTGGTGGGACTCCGAGTGAGATGATCACATAGCAGGTCTTTAACACACTTTCCCATTTCGATTTTCTCTATCTTCGAAAATATCGCTCCTATTTAATATTTCAGTTATCTACATCGACAATTGAAATTTATAACCCTACACATTGGAGGGTTACGCCGAATAAAAAAATCATGAATTGATACTGAATAAAAAAATCATGAATTCCTTTGTGATTACGTTGTCAACCCGATTATACAACTAAAATATTTCTTAATATTTACTTCTAATTTTGTAAATTTCTTTTTGTTTTGTAAGTGGAAAATTGAGTAAAATTCTGGAATGTTCAACTGCAAGAATCAAATTCAATCAATACCGAAGTTAGTTTATCGAAAAATGGAGATTTGAAGAAGTTTAAAGTCGAAATAAACAGAGCACTTCGATTTTTCTTCAAATTTCCCGGAATAAATCCAATTTTTGGTATGATAATCAATACCAAAGTTAGTTTATCGAAAAATGGAGATTTAAAGAGCTTTAAAATTGAAAAACAGAGCATTTCGATTTTTCTTCAAATTTCCCGGAATCAATCCAATTTTTGGTATGATTACACCGAAAATCAGAAAAATGAAATGGAGGAAAAGCATCAAGCTATAAACTACAAAAAATTAATTCATAGGCACGAAGGGATCACAGATTTTTATTTTTTTTATTTGCAGAAATTATTGCGAATAAAGAACAGGATTTTAAATACTTACCTGTATCCGTAACCTCACTTTCAGGTGAATCATCCTGGGTAAAATCTTCAACCACGGGTTCTACTCCACCATTTTCATTACCCTCCTCTAATTTCTCCACGGAACTCTCTAGAGTTTTCTCGGAAATGGTATCATTCACCTCTTCAATTTTCTTTTCGTCCACCTGCCTTCCTTCACTCTTTTCGGCTTCCACTTTCTGAAGCTCCATTGTGACATCAGCAATCGGATAGTATTGCTGCATCTGGAGGATCGGGATCCAGTTCAGCCTCCTACGGTGAATAGCACCGAACACCGAATCATACTCTGCCGGTACACCACCTTCAAGTTGCCTCAGGTGTTTGCAGAGCGCATCAATGATGGCGTTGGCTGCCGCAAACTCCCCTCGAAACCATGCAATGATAGCGTCCTTTGCGAAAGCCTCCGGCGCCTTCGTCATCGCCACGCCCAGCGGCGGCTGAGGTTGCTGCACCATCGCTGGCACAACCTTTTCCGGTACCCGATCTCCATGCGCTACTACACTGGCCGCCGGCGGCATCTTCAATATTGATTTTCAGTGAATAAAAAATGGAAAAAAAATTCTGTTCAACTTTTCAATGCTGAATCGGTAAGTCAATATTGTATAGTTCGTTATTTTTAAGCCTATATTTCAGTAAAATTTTCGGGTTTTATAGAAACTTTTCTAAAATTAAAAATGTTTAAAAGCGGAAAAAAGGGAAAAGAAAATGTTTTTTGATGAAAGCGAGGGTTTGGTTTGGGCCTTCGGGGAGATTTAGGTGGATTTATATTAAAAATGAAATTACTTGGGACCACATGCCATGTGTCAAGAAAAAATTGATGACCTGGGAATAAAAAATTGTTAATTGCAAATATTTGGGAAAAAAATTTGCACCTTCGGAACCTCAATTTATTGTGACAATAAAATAGTAAGATAGTTCAAAAGTTTTCGTCTTCATTGAAGGAAAACATCAATTTTTTCATTATGTCACATCAAAATTGGATTGTGTCAGTCGGTTCAATTCGAAATCAGTTTAAAACCCAATTCAGTTGTAAGTCAAAATTTATATATTTAAAAATCAATTAAATAGTATAAGAATCAATCATTCAGACACACAACTCTGGTTCATACAAAAATTTCAAATCAGCTTTTGTCGGTTCAACACATTGCCCATTATTTATAGGCAACAGATCAAGTTGTAAGGAAAAATGAGATTAATAAAATTAAAGAGGACCGCATTGAATACGTTTTGTATATGAGGACGGATTTGTAATTATAATTAAAAGTTATGAGAAAACATTTTATATTTTAAAGTGTTGAGGACTAACTTATTACTAGGACATTAGGTTAAATACCTGCTACGCAATTATTTGTTTAATTTGGTTGGTGGCGCGTGTTGGCATTTTTAATCTAAATAAATGTGTGGAAATGGTTAAATGGTTTAAAAAGTTGTTGAGAAGAAAAGTTGCACGTTGAAGATTCGACAATTATTAAAAGGAAAATGTAAGTGGCTGTTTGATAGCCCATTATTTTGTAAGGAAAATGGATAACAAATTCTAATTTTCACTTTTGATCTGTTTGATTGACAAAATTTTTCAGAAAATTCGTTTTTCACCTTTGACCGCTACGTCAGGATTTTCCATCTTTTTCTTGAATTCAAATTCTCACCATATTGGTGAGAATTCGTTTTCCGAGGTTACTGTAGCAAATTTTTTTATTTTCTTTTTTTGGAATGGAAACAAATTCTAAAAATTATTGTAAAAAATTATATCCATTTAATTGACATAAAATAAAGACAAACGAACACCAAAACATAGATAATTTATTTATTTTATTTTTTTGGCAATAGAAACAAATTTCATCCTCAATACCAACAAATTTTGTCCCTTTAATTGACAATTTTCATGCAAAACAAA